GGCCTTGCTGTAAATTAGATCTGCTAGCTGAGCTGGATGAAAACTTGCTCCAAAAAGACAATGAAATTTTCAGTGCCATGTGCTAGAGAGCATAACATACCTTTCAGCTAGGAGAAAGGGAAGAGAACAAAACTTTTGGCACAAGCTGAGAGTCAGATTAGCTTAATCAAATTGTGAAATTGCAGAGTTAGCATAAAAGGTTTACTCTAACCCCTGTCAAACAAATATGCCTTTTTTGTTACTCGTATGTTAGCACGAACCAGTGTCTCGTATTTGAAGTAAGATGTTACTAAATGCCAAGAGTGAACTCTGAGCCATGGCAAGGGTTTAGGAGTCAGAGTAGTCTGGCATTGCCACCGTGGCTCCCTGGCTCTCTAGCAAGGAGCCTGCTCACCCTGCCTGGCTCCACCTGACTCTGTGCTGCGGGACAGCCTGGTGCTATGGCAGTTCTGTGAATAGAGGCAACCACTGCTTTATTGCAGGGGATAGGCTAACGTTACCTGCATATTTCAAATCTCCACAGAGCTCCAAGGACCCTTCAGATGAAGAGTCAACCCAGCTGAATACTGATCTTCCATTTTCCTGTGTGGCTAGACAGCCACAGTTGCCTAGACAATTCAACACACCCCAGAGCAACTCGCTAATCATGAATATCTTGGGGGGAAGCACCTCTGTCAGAAACATCTGGACTGACCATCAGATCAGGCAGGCATTGTTTCCCAGCCGGCGTCCACCTTATGAGAATGAAGATGATGAAGATGATTATCAGATGTTTGTACCATCAGTGTCTACATCCAACACTAGTTCAGCTGTGGGTAGAGAAAGGAGGGGTTCTTCTGGGCGGCCATGCAGCTGGCACTTGGGAGCAGTGCATCAAAATGAGACTTCCAGCCCCACTCATCACAAAATTGTTAGGCGGGCCAGTAGTGCTGGTGAAAGTAACATGTGTTCAGCTAGCACAAGGTATAAAATCGAGGAGCGCACTTCTCGAAGGGAAGGGAAGAGAGCAGAGGTGAGCAGTATGAATACGTATCCTGAATCTTCAGAGGAGCTGACCATTGATGATATTGAGCATGTGTATGATAATATAAGCTATGAAGACTTAAAGCTGATGGGTCTGACAAGAAGGGAGGAGACAGCCCGTGGTCCCCAGAGATCTGCTAGAGACTCTCTTTATGAGGCTGAAAAGAGAAGCAGCTCAGATTCACCCACCAAGAAGAGGACAGCAAATCAAAACAGAGCCTCCATTTGTGCTAGTAGGGATGAGATACTACTTAGTAGAGAAGCACCTACTTCAAGTTTGGATGAGCTCAGGATTGTCGAAGACAACATCTATGACACCATAGTGCTTCCAGAAACAGCACTATTGAATTTTAAATGTGACACCTTAAAATGCTCTAAAAGGCGGAGTTTTCTGGGCCTGGAAAAAGATTTTGTATGTTGCGACAATCTACGGCAGTTTGTTTCTGAAGAGAGTCTCCAGTTCAGTGAAGATGAGAGCCCTTACCATCGTGTTCCCCTCGACAATGATTATTTGAGCTTAGTAGATAGCTCCTCCAACTCGGATTCACTCTCTCATAAGTCTGCAGCAGATAAACTCTCAGAGGAGGTAGACGAGATTTGGAATGACCTGGAGAACTATATCAAGAAGAATGAGGAAAAGACAAGAGACCGTCTTCTTGCAGCCTTTCCTGTTTGTAAGGATGATATGCAGGAAAGGCTGCATACTGGTAGTACACCTGAACTGAGTAAAGATGTGGAGTATTCACTGTCTACTCTCTCTCTGCCAGAAACTCCTGTTTTCCCTAAAACAGTGAAGCCCGGGGCTGCCACCTTAAGTGAGGCTAATCTGAGGCTTGAAGACGCTACACCATGCAAGGAGAACTCGTTTATGAGTCTGAACAGATCTTCCTTCTCCAGCGAGATGCCTTTTGTGGACAGCCCATATGAACCTGCCAATAGTGTTCTGTCCAGTGTGCATGCAGAGGGCATGGAAAATGACTTGGCTGTTGTGGATAAAACAAAGAACAGAGTTTTTATGATGGCAAGGCAATACAGTCAAAAAATTAAGAAGGCTAACCAGCTTTTGAAGGTTAAAAGTCCAGAGCAGGAACAGCCAGCTAGCAGACAACAGAAACTGAAACACAAAGATCTTGCTGCTATTCTGGAGGAGAAAAAGCAAGGAGGTCCTGCTATTGGTATGTTAAAAATATTTCTCTGTGTGTATATATATATATA